AAGATTATCAAGATTAGTCCAAGAGAGATAAGCAAGAACAACTCAAGACTCCCAAGACTATCAAGATTAGCAAGATAAGGCAAGACTCTTCCAAGACTCTTCCAAGATTATCAAGAAAGACTCCAAGAAGCATCAAGATTAGCAAGATAATCCAAGATACATGCATCTAGGGAGATCGAACGATGGAGATCAAGCAAAGAGGAATTCGATCCTATCTAGATTAGATGTTTTGATCTATCCTAATTGTTCTTTCCCAGTTCTTTCACAATTTTCAGTTCTTTTACAATTTCAATTTTCAGATGTATTATAAATACTGCTATTTTCCAGTTAATGAACACAATTAATACTTCAGATTTTCAGATTTTCTTGAGTTCTCTTCATTGAGTTTTCGCCACCTTTTTCTCTCTCCTAGAGAAATCGGTGTTATTCGCTAGGTACTAACGAACACCCGATGCTTGCATAGCCAACTCCGGTTCTCATTGCTTCCACACTGCGTCAAGAGGGCAAAAATTTAATGGGTTGGGTACTTGGGTTGAGTTAAGAACCAAACTAAAGCTAACCCTATGCATGGACCTTATCATGGCCTGAATTCAAACTAAAGTCAATATCTAAATTTGCCAATTCAGACCTAAGCAAATTTCTATCGAATCCCATGAACTCGTGAGACAAAGGGAAGAAAATCATGATTCATGAGCCAAAGCAAAACTATTAGCCATTGAAACTTACACGCATCCAACTGGGTGTCCTCGTTACAAACTAATAAATGATACTGAAAAGCCGCCTTCTCATAAGATTCATGCATAAAGCCAAACAACCTAATTGTTTAACATTTAACCTAAACTAGTTAAAATTCTTTTTTCCTTTGAACCCATTTTGTTCTAATTCATTTATTATTAACCGAGTTGTTATGGAAGGACCAAGGAGATTTTTTTTTTCTTTGTTTTCTATGTAAAGGACGAAGGAGAATTTGGTGCGAGTGTTTATAAGCAAGAGCAACCATTTGTTTGCGGTGTAAGCGTCATTTATGTAAAATCGATGGAGTTTTGAAAAAGTGAGGATTGAAAAAGCTGATTATCAACATGGTTTTTAAAGCCGACCCGGTGACTGAACTCGAACTGGTCAGGGTCCGGTTATTGGGTCAAACAGTCTGATTGTTTGAACTGAACGTTCAGTCCATTCTAATAAAAAATAAAAAACAGTCAAAACCGTTCAAACGGTTTGAATGGTTAATCGCCCAGCTCAGCGGTTCGCTGATCAAAATCAACGATTTTAGGGGGAAATTCGGTTTTTGGGGAAAACGGAACCGGTCACCTGACCGGTTCCTGGTTTTTACGATCCGACTGTTCAGTCCGGCCCAGTTTTGAAAACCATGATTATCAATGTAATACTATATCGATTTTATTGATATAGTTTTTACATCGATAATTGATGTAAAACCTCACTAAAGTGACATTTTATATCAATTTATGATATAAATCTATTTCCATCCAAACACGACAAAACTATGTTTTACACGGCAAACGAATACAACAATAAGGATTCGTTAAAAAACTTTATTTCCTCACTATTTGTCTCATTTTTTCTAACAATAACGAGTGTGCAATGAAGTGCCTAGCCCTCAATTGAAAAATGTCACACTACAAGGACAATCTGGATCAGGTAGGCACAACGTTGTAAGCACATTCAATGAACAATTAGAAATTTTTTTGACACCTATTCCTTAAAATACTCCCATGCCTATTCTTAAAAAATATTAAAAATCACTTTTGATTAGGGGTGCAAATGGACCCGATCCAATCCGAGATCTGATCCTATTTAGTCGAATTCAGATAACTCCTCGTCGAATCACCCCTATCCAATCTGAAAAGATCCAATCTGACATGTTATATATTTATAATATAAATATAAATATATATATGTTATTTATTTATTTGTAAATATATTATTTATATTATATTTTTATAAATTTGTTATATTATTTATTTTTTATAAAAACATGTATATATATATGATGAAAATAATTAAAAAATATTAGTATTTTTGTTTTTTCTTTATTTAAATTAATATATTTTCTTTTCTTTTCTTTTAACAATTTATTAATTTTTAAAGAAAACAAGTAGGATCAAATCAGATTCGAAGATTCAAAGATCCGATAAAATTCGATCAGATCGAGTCCTATCAGATCCAATCGAATCTTCATATCAAATCGGATTCAAATATACCTTGATTCAAATCCCATCAAATCTGTTTGCACCCCTACTTTTGACAGTCGAAGTATTTATCAATAGTGCTCAACGTGCTTACTATATTATGCCTATTAGATCCTCCGGTCCCGTTTTGATGCTCGAAAGTTCTACTTCTACATCTTGTGGAAAACGTTCAACAGGCCAAGAAAAACGATATTTTGAAAAAGGATGAAATAGACCAACAAGCTTTAATCGTTTTTTTTTAATAAACTTGGAAATTAAAAAAGAAAATAACTTTGACACTTGTAGATGGTACAACTTCTAAATTTATAAACAATTAATTTATTTTGAATGAGCTAAATATTAGTCAACATATATTTTGTTAGTCGAAGTCCTTGTAATTCAAATGGAATTAGTAGTAGCAAGGGCTAACAAGAATACAAGATCAACCAAGGCCAGTTCTAACTCTGAGACATAGAGAGGTTCTTTATTGGATTTTTTTTTTTTTATTCTAAGTATAACCAAATATTCTAATTAGTTGTATTTTATATTTTTTTCTTTGGTTTGTAAACCGTTTCACCAGTTTGACCTTCTGATCTGAGTTTATTTTTTTCCTATATCAAACGAGTGGAGGATCATGACATAAAAATGGGCACAAGCTCATTAGCCAACTGGTAATTCATAATTACATTAGAAGAGGCCTGTGGAATGCAAGCTCTGCATTGCTACCAACACCTACCCACAGTATATTACAATTATACATCAGGATTATCTCTTTTATTTGTATGTTGGTCCTTAATGGAGAGATCTTACAAATGTATGGCTGTAATGTCGCGCGGGTAGTCTGTGCAGCAGAGATCCAAAGATTTGTGATGCACTTGAAGTCATATATGAAACGGCGAAATCAACTTTGGTGCTCACAAGATGGAGATATTTTCAGAATTTAGATCTGTTAATCACAATATATTGCTGGTCACACTCATCCAACTATATTGATGCGTGTGACAAACAATGTATTATAGTCAGTAGATCTGAACTCCAATGCAAGGCTCTGAAGGACTTTGTGAATAGTGAGTAGGTCTTGTGAGCAATAAGACGATCTATGCATGATTAGGCCTGTTTATGGGTCGGGTTGGGTTGGATTTTTATTCTGTATGAATAGATTTTTCTAAGGCTCGAGTCCGAGTTCGGCCTGACTATTGGGCCTATAATTTGGGTCTGAACTCGGTCTTCATAAAAAGTCGAATCTCGGGCCTGGGCCCGAGCCCAAAATTTAGCCCATGCTGTTAGCTGTTACTACTATTGAAGCGACTGAATAGAGATAGATAGAGAGAGAGAGAAATTTTAAAATAAAAAATGTATATATTAAATTATAAATATATATATTTCAATAAATATTATATTATTTATATAATATATAAAATACATATTATATATTTTATAAAAGATATAATACTGAATCGGACCAGATCGGGTTCGGACCAAACTTGAAAGACGATACAGGTTGTTGGAGTGGGTCTTGCACCGATTGAATCCGGTTTCCACAGGAGTTGTATGAAGTGATTTAAGGCGGAGCCACAGCAATACATAAAACAGAAAGGTACGGACAGACCCATGCAGATTTCTGATTTCTTACTGCAGAGATATAAAGCTGGCACCTATCCAACAATAATTTGGGCTTATAAATTCTGACTCTAGGCCGAAGCAATGTAAGGAGAGAGAATAAGGTGACGTGTGGATAATTGAGTTTCAAATGACATCGGCGCCCCACACACATCCCAACCGTGTATTCCGAGCATCTCCCAATCATAAATATTAAAGATGGCAAGTGTACATTGAGATGCAATGTAAAATGTAAGAAGACCGGATCTGTTCTCACAACTGACGCCTCATACACACATCCTATCATGCATTGAGAATATCTTCCGTATTTATTAATAAATATTCACGGGAGGTGTTCCCAATACACACAGCGGGGTGTGCGGCGGAGATGTGAACTCGTTTTAAAATACATGAAAATAAAATAGACTGCGAGTGCGATTTGCGACTTTGAAGAATAGCCGCGTTGGTGACGTGGACGAGGTGACGAATTTTTAACGAGTCGGTTGGGAGTTAGACTTTCAAAATTGTAGCGTCTGGCTGGCAGGTTGGTCCTCGAGTCACATTGACTTTGCCTATAAATAAATTCCAGTCTTCTGTAGTTTTCACAAGGCAGCCAAAGGCAATCAGAAAGCCAAGCTGCATTGCTTTGCCCAACCCCTCTCTTTTGCCCCAAAGTATACGCTCCTTGAAACAAAGCTGCCAGACAGAATTAACAGAATGTCGAACCCAGTTAACGTTCCTAGGTGGACTCCAAACGCAAGCCCAACAAGGTTACCTCACCCAGAAACCATTTCGCAGGAGAGGGATGATGACACGGAGATGGGAAGCATTGTGTCTGAAGAAGAACCCATGTCCATGTCCCACGGCATGGAAAGGACTTTCCCTTTCAGCACTTACTCCGCTCCTCCACCTTCTACGTTTCCCAACCCCAAGGACAAGGTCATCCACCCTCAACCTGCCTATAGCTTGAGAATTGAAACCGATGAAATTACGCACCACGTGGAGGCCAGAGAGGTTCAGTTGTCCAACCATGGCCATGCCGCCTATGCTTCTCGCGCTCCACTAACTGTTCCTTTGGAGTACCGACAGGACGGCATCTACTTGACATGGAAGGATCTGTGTGTTACGGTCTCCGACGCGAAAAGCGGGACACGGGCCATCCTTCAGGGTCTCACCGGTTACGCCCAGCCCGGCGAGGTCTTGGCCATCATGGGTCCTTCCGGTTGCGGCAAGTCAACTCTCCTTGATACTTTGGCTGGTAATCACATTCACACCTTCTCCAACTTGTTCTTTTCTCTTTTGCTTTCCAACTTTTCTCATCTTTTTTAATCTTTTAATATATATTAACCTTCCATACAAATTAAGAGATTCTGATCAACCAAACCAAAAATCACAAATTGCAGGGAGACTAGGTTCGAACACGAGACAATCTGGAGATATCCTTGTTAATGGACGAAGACAAGCACTGGCATTTGGGACCTCGGTGAGGCTCTTTTTTGTTTTCATTGTCACATGTCGTCTCTGGAATCTAGAAAAACTAGAGGGGAAACTCACACTAACTTTGCTTGAACCACCAACCGAAGCACTGAATAATTTTCTTGGTTTTAACTCTATCGTGGGTGTTTGGTTTTTGTCATGCGTGGATGTAGGCTTATGTGACTCAAGATGATACTCTAATGATGACATTAACTGTTAGAGAAGCAGTTTACTACTCTGCCCAGCTTCAGCTGCCCGACTCCATGCCGCTGTCCGAGAAGAGGGAAAGAGCAGAGATCACTATCAGGGAGATGGGGTTGCAAGATGCAATGAACACCAGAATTGGAGGGTGGGGTCACAAAGGGCTTAGTGGCGGCCAAAAGAGGAGAGTCAGCATCTGTATTGAGATCTTGACCCGCCCAAAGCTTCTTTTTCTGGACGAACCCACCAGCGGTCTTGACAGTGCGGCTTCCTACCATGTCATGAACCGAATCGTACGCCTAGCCCAACAGGATGGAAGGACAGTCGTCGCTTCCATCCATCAGCCCAGCAGTGAAGTTTTTGAGCTCTTCCACAATCTTTGTCTTCTTTCTGCTGGTAAAACGGTCTACTTTGGCCAGGCTTCAGCAGCAAGCGAGGTAACTACTAAATTTTGGTCTGTGGGAACATTTTTATTAGCAAATGGAGTCCTAGAATAATTCCCATTTTCATTTTATTGTAGTTCTTTTCATCAAATGGTTTCCCATGTCCAAGTCTGAGAAACCCATCGGATCACTACCTTAGGACGATCAACAAAGACTTCGATACGGTAATTTTTTTTTTTTTCTGTTAAAACCTCTCAACTTGTTTTCTATTTAAAAACTTGGGGAAACTTTTCATTTAATTTAAACTCTCTTTGGTTACTCCACAGGACGTCGAACAGGGCTTTGATGGGAAGACTATAAGCACTGACGAAGTAATTAACATTCTTGTAAAGTCATACAAGTCATCTGAGACTTGCCAGCAAGTGAAAAGACGGGTAGCAGAGATATGCAAAAGGGTATGAAATTGCTCCTCTGAATCATGGATCTCTATTCCTCAAGCTAAGAGTCAATATTGAAGACATTGATTTAATTTTCAGGAAGGTGCACCTTTGGAGAAGAAGGGCAGTCAAGCTAGCTTCCTTTCGCAGTCTTTCGTTCTAACGAAACGATCTTTTGTGAACATGTATCGTGATCTTGGGTACTACTGGTTGCGGCTTGCAATCTATATCGCTCTATGTCTCTGCGTAGGTACTATATATTTCGACATCGGCCACAGCTTCGGCTCCATTCAGGCTAGGGGCTCGATGTTGATGTTTGTCGCTGCCTTCTTGACATTTATGGCCATCGGTGGATTTCCTTCTTTTGTTGAGGACATGAAGGTGATTAAATAGATATTCAAAACTTAAGTTTGTTAATTTATTGGAGCTTCAATTTAAAATTACGAGTTTACTAAATGACTTTTGTTTCTTGCTTTATCTCTTATATTCAGATCTTCCAACGAGAGAGATTGAATGGGCACTACGGAGTGGGTGCATTCGTTCTGGGAAATTCGTTTTCTTCCATCCCCTACTTGCTTCTCATTTCTCTGATTCCAGGAGCAATTGCTTATTATCTCGTGGGTCTTCAGAAGGGAGCTGAGCACTTCGTCTACTTTGCTCTGGTGCTCTTCGTATGCATGTTATTGGTCGAGAGCCTGATGATGATCGTCGCGAGTGTTGTGCCAGATTTCCTCATGGGTATTATCACAGGAGCTGGAATTCAGGGTGTGATGATGTTGAATGGTGGGTTCTTCCGACTGCCGGACGATCTTCCGAAGCCTTTCTGGAAATACCCAATGTACTATATTGCCTTCCACAAGTACGCTAACCAAGGGTTCTACAAGAATGAGTTTGAAGGTTTGACGTTCCCCAACAATCTAGCAGGAGGTCCACCCACCATCACTGGAGATGAAATTTTGAGGGACACGTGGCAAGTGGAGATGGGTTATTCTAAGTGGGTGGACCTTGCAATCTTGTTGGGGATGGTTATCTTGTACAGATTCATGTTCTGGGCTATTATCAAGACTGTTGAGAAGATGAAGCCCATGATCAGGGCTTTCTTAGCTACCCCTCCCAATCAAATGGCACAGATCATGGAGACTCCCTCTACAAGTTAAAAAACTGAATTTGGTGTATCACTGTATTAATATTATGCAGTATTATGTGGCATGTGTGCTCGCTCAATTTTCGTTGACGTGCACTTGTTTTAATTGAGTGAGGCGCACTTAAATGTGACTTGCTTTTTCAAAAATATATAGTAGTTCATGATGTATAATCACTTTGTGAGTTTGTGTTATATATTTGCTTCAATTTGAAGATTTTGTATTAATAAAAGGATTTTATTACAATGTTTTCACTTTTTCTTCGTTTTTATTTTTTTACTTGTGTTTTCAGTCTTTAAGGCCGTGTTCTTGGTCTTTACGGCTGCGTTTTCAGCCTTCCGTTCAAACCAAACATAGCCTTTGATTAGATACATGATAATTGTATAACTCCCACCACATACTATCAATGATTTCTTTTAAGATAATCATTTTACTTAATTGTAATTGGAAATACTAAAACCCTAATAAGAATAGCTAGTGCCTTTTTGATAAGAGGAATCAATTTCTGCAATTCACATTAAGATCTAGTGCCCTATAAATGCCTTACATGCACATCTCAGTGTTCGTTGGGAATATTTCCTGAATTTGTATTGAGAGACATTCCCAATACACGATTGGTATGTGCTGTGGGGTGTTGTTAGTGGGTGCGCTATCATTTGTCCCAAAGCCTGTAAAAGAGCCTAAGCCTAACCAAGTTTACGCTCAATTCAATTTTTTTCTTGACCCCACCCCAGCCCAGAAAATGCAGCTCCAACAGTCCAACCTATACAAAAACTCGAATTGGACCATGCAACCAAGTTGTTCCCCTAATCCTAACCCATTATCATTTATTATTATCCTTTTATTTTCATGGCTTGTTTTGCTTTTGCAAAACAACTTATTGTTGGGTAAATTGATGGCCGGGAAAAATAAGATAATTAGGGTCCATTTGGTTTGCTGGATGGAATTGGAATCGTAATTAGAATGACATTTTCCCATACGAAGGAATGAACATTCCCTTCCCTTTTTTGGGGAATCAAAATCCATTTCAACCAATTCTGATTCTGATTCCGATTCCAGACTGAACCAAACAGGTGAAAGGAATAAATTATTGACTCCAATTCCAACTGTGTACCAAATGAACTCTTAGTCTAGCACCATCAGATCCATGATGATGATAATGATGAACAACCATGGAGCAACAGATGGAAGTACAGCCCACATTGTAACATGTAGATGTATAGCCCAACGATCGATCTTCACCTTTTTTTTCGGCTACATGGGAGTATGGGACTAACAACAGGGTATCCCATCCTCCCCCCCAACCCGGCTTCATGCGTTGGATGTCTTGCAGGTTTGCCCTGACATTAAAGACTTTTAGATACTGCAACTTTGCAAGCATTCTCGCGGCAACAAAAACTTAAGCCTCCATCTTTGCCTCTTCTTGCCTAATTACTTTTTGCAATTGAATAAATGCTGTTGGAGCATATTTTTACAAGAAAATGGCTTCTTCAGTCCCTGGGTGGAACCCATGTGCAAGCGATCCCATTCCCATCAAGAAGGTGAAATTCGATGGATTGGAGACAGAAAGAACTGCTTACGTCCAGTGGCGTGTAGAGAGATCTTTTCCCTTTGGTTGCAGTGCAATTTTATTTATAGTATAAATGTATGGAAGTGAAAATGAAAAGAATGTAACTTTTAGTTTAATTTTGTTTTAGGTTTTATTTTCCATCCCAATCGGTTACGTAGCTCAATCCATCTACATGACTACAGCATTCCACCATTTAGAAATCACACATCTATCCGAGGTGAAAAAATGTTCAAATGTCCAAGTTGAACTCTAGCTCTCAGCCTGGTATCTACTTGACATGGTAGGATATGTGTGTGGTCGTCTCAAATGACAAAGTTTTTTTTTTTTTTTTTGCAAGGATAAAACTGGAATTCATTAAACAGCAAGCAAGTTAAGGGAATATTTGGATCCCTTTACATGGTTTCTCAAAAAGATTGGTGAGGTTTACGTAGCTGGCATAGCTATTTACAAAAGAGTTCGTATGCCTATCTCTCTTTGCCATTTTATGGGCTAGCAAAATAACATCCCTGCTTACATACTTGATTTTAATATTTTCAAAAAAAGATAGAAGTTCCAAAATATGGTCATAAAGTGCTTGTTGGTCCCATTGCATCTGTTTTTCTGTCCCTCTGAGCTTCGTTAACACTGCTTTAGCATCTGAAAACAAAAAACCTGTCTTTACACCCATACAAAAAAAAAAAAAATTCTTAGTCCTCTTATCACTGCCCAGAGAGGCCTGTGAGTGAACATATATAAACCAGTAGATGCAGTTTGTGTGAATGGGTTCCATGAGTCATCAACAAGAATGATCGGAAATTCAGAGGAGAAAACTTGTTGTAAATCCCTTTCTGATTGAGGATCTAATGGATTGAGGAGTTTAAGTCCCAATTCTTTGTAACTGCAGTAACTTTCAGCCTTTCTAAATATTTGAAGGGGGTTTGGGTTCACTTTGTTAAATAATTGATTGTTTCTTGCATCACATATGCTTCTGAAGATGGTACATATTTTTGCAATATAGTTATGCTTTATCACTTTATTTTCCAAATGGGAGCTGTGTTGCCACCACCATTGGATTAGGTCCACTTGGCCTGAATTCAAAAAGATTTCTGGTACCAAACCAACCTGAGCCTGAATCCAGATTGCCCTAGAGAGAGGGCATTGCAGGAAAAAGGTGCTTTTGGGTTTCTGGAGAAACTTTACAAAAAGTGCACCCGGTTTCTTCTCTTCTCCTACAGCTCCATATTTCTGTCTTGGTTCGAATAGCTCTATGGAGAACCTTCCACATGAAGATTTGACACTTATGGGAGCATGGACTTTTCTAGATGCCAAAGTTGGGGAGTTCGCATCCTATGGACTCTATAGGTTCACACTTCATAGGATACATGTGCCCTCCTATAAAATCTCGCCGCATTGTTCAATCTCTCCCATTTTCAAAACTAATCGAATTTGCCTCCTTAACGACATTTACTTCATTTTTGGGTGCTACTTCCTAAAATCCTAAGTCTGCCTTTGGAAATGATGCAAATAAGTGTGAATGCAAATATATAGTGTAAATGGGTTCATATAAATTGCAAAGTTGGTTTAGTTTTGCATTAACAAATTTACCTTCTTACCAAACATACTTTTAGCTATAATGGATGCAAACACAAATTCCAATAAAGCATATTTTTTCTATGGAAAGCCCACTTGAATGCAAATATACTTCTTTTCTATTGATGTACTTTTACATCTTATTATCAATGTAAATATGCATTGGTCTGCCATTTATCAATGCATAAATGTATTGTTGCCAAACACAAGCAAAAGTGAACTAGAATGTAAATTTACCCTGAACCGGAATTTACACTCCATTTGCATCGTTTCCAAATGCAGTCTAAAGGGTTAAATACTTAAAATATATCCCTACCCTTTAGCAAATGGATAAAAACTTATAATATTGTTTGAAGAATTAAATTAATGGGAAAATTCTCGATTAGTACATTGTACTTTAGGCCTAGTTTAACTTTGATCTCTAAACTTTAAAATGCAACAATTCAGTACCTGAACTTTCAAAACATGTCAATTTAATACCTACCGTTAACCAGCCTATTAATCGGCCATTAAGTGACATTTTGAAAAAACAAAAATGTCATTTGAATGTCATCTAATTTTCTTTATCAACCATCCAAATGTTGACAAAAAATGAACGGTCCCAACTCCTTGTCTCTTCTATTCAAAAAAGTTGGGGTCACATGAATAAAGAGAATTAGAGGACACTTGAAGGGCATTTGCATCTTTTCAAATGCCACTTAATGGTTGATTAATGGGTTGACTAACAATAGGTACTGGATTGGCATGTTTTGAAAGTTTGGATACTGAATTGTTGTATTTTAAAGTTCAGAGACCAAAGTGAAAGTAGGCCCAAAGTATAGGGTACTAATTGGAAAATTTCTCTTAATTAAAATACCTTTAAAGTTTTTGGCAATTGACATCGTTCCTAAATATTGACAGAAAAATAAAATATCAAATTTGCCCTCTATTATTCTACAACACGTGAGAGTTAGAAAGAGGAAAAAAAATAGGATTGCAATTTGCAACGATTATTTCCTACCCAATCGAAAGGAAAACAGTCACTTTTATTCTCTAACGAGTGCTACTTCTTCAATTACTATCTATTTTAGTTCAATCTACTACTCCATCCTATTGGCCAGTCTACCACCACAGAACTCAACTTCTTTAGATTCTTCTAAATAAATAAGGTAAAATACAAAAACCTCCCTTCAAGTTTCTGACAATCATAAAAGTTTTCCCTATAATTTTATTTTAACAAAAACCTCTCTTGAACTTTTAAAAATTTGACAATAATCACCCTTTCGTTATTAATTCAAATGGAAAACGTTTATTGATGTATAATTTTTTTCAAATACCCATTTTACAAAAGCTCGTGTTCAAAGTATCCAAACACAAAATTTTGCCATGTCAGCCATCATGAGCTGTGCGTGAATTTCGCTGCGTTAGTCTCCAACTCCGTTTAGATTCTTCTCTGGTTCGTGAAAATCTCTTGCTTTTACGAAAATTTGCAAAGCATTTTCCTATCCTTATCTGCTTCATTATGATAACCTCCTGTAGTTATATGAAGTTTTCATTTAGGAGATGAGCTCTAATCAATTCGAAAGTTTACTATTCATCTTCTTTGTTGAGAGAGCGATGGCGAGTAGACTTTCCAACACCAAGTAACAGCAGCAACCCCTTCCAACTCTCTCTTATCTTCTCTCTCCCTCTCCCTCTCCCTCTACTTTTTTGTACTCTTTCTTCTTCTTCGTCCCACACCCCACCACCGTCACCACCCTGTTTCTTCCTCTTGAAGCAGCAATTTGCCATCTCTCCCTCCAAGTTTATCTACTTCTAACGGCAGATCTGAGCTTGGCGAAAACCTCTCCTCCCCCTTTCGTTTTCTATCTCTTTCCCATCTCATCACCGCCGTTGCAACAGCGGATCTAAGCTTGGCGGCAACCTCTCCTACCCCTTTTGTTCTCTATCTCTTTCCTGTCTCATCACCGTCGTTGCAACGACGGATCTGAGCTCGGCGGCAACCTCTCCTCCCCCTTTCGTTCTCTATCTCTTTCTCGTCTCATCACCACCGTTGCA